CTTCACACGCTCGCCGCCAGAACCGAAGACGTGTTCAGGAGAAATCATCAAATATTAACACTTCACGGGCCGTATTAATGCGAGGCTCGCGGCTGTTTGCTCACGTTCATCAATAAAGCAGCTTGCATGATGTTTCTCATCATCTTCTCATTATTAGGATATTATGTGCTCCTGCGTTATTACTCGTCGCTATCCCTGTTTTCTGAGGACTAATGTAATGGCGTTCGGTGAACAGCTCTGAGGAGCTTCATTGCAAACAGATATTAGTGTAATGCTGCAGACGCGCGCTTGTGTCCGTCCCGCGCGGGAGGAAATCTTCATCTCATCTCATCGAGTAATAGTTCACACGCACAATTGAAATAAATTGATTATGGGGTGTGAGATTTCCAGCGTGCTGTTTATCAGCGGTGCAATTATTCCAGAGCAGTGGAAGTGTAAAGATATGAGCCCAACTAAATAAGAATTTTTCTTTGCTTATATGTAAATTACAGTTATTCAGATGATGTTGGTGTGTTTTAGGGACATTTTTACCTTCTTTCATGCATGTTTTTTTACATCTATTATTTAAATCACTTCACTAGTTGTTAAGGCTACAATCAAATTAACATCAAACATTCTGCAAGAATAAATGTCCTTATGTTATATTACAACAGTCTCCTGTTACTGCTTTTTGTTTGTTAGGCAATTAATATTCAGTAATATTATCAATTTAACTGCATTTCATTGGATGATAAAATTGGAACTGAATTGAGCTGAATAATGACCCTTATGTCTTCTGTAGAGGTTGAAATTGAGTTTGTTTCATAATTAATGAACATCAACATTATTGAACTGAATTGAATCAACATTGAACTGAACCGAGACGTTTGTCTTCTGTAAAGATGCTTTATAGTTTGAATTAAAAATCAATTTTGTTTAATAATCGATAAACTTAGCAACATTGACACTTACTAGGGCTGCACAATTAATTGAATTTCTAATCGCGACTACAATTATGGATGCCACAATTACGTAATCGTTCAAAGCGGCAATTAACCGTTCAAAGTCCACTTATGTTATTCTGCGTTTTTTTTTCTTTCTACATGTTATCGAATAATCAACAATTATGATTTTTGTCATAATCGTGCAGCCCTAACACTTACTGAACTGAATTGAATCTGAATGGACTAGTGTCTTCTGTAGAGCTGCTTTACAGCTGAATTTGATTCATAATTGAATCTGTTATTTTCCTGTTTATTACTGTGAAGCTGCTTTGAATCAGTGTGAATTGTATAAAGCACTTTATAAATACATTGGTGGATGTTGGGAGTATTTTAGAGCGTTTCATCTGAAAACGGCTCCATATTCACCTCCTTGTGCCCCGTTTAATTTAATATGTTTAGTTGGCATGGGACTGCCCGTATGGAAATGAATTGAGTTTAATTGACTGTCCGTATGGAAGCGAGCGTCTCAAACGCCGTAGCAATTAGAAGAATTGAATCTGAGTGAAAAGCGCCCTACAGTTATGGATTAAACGCACTTGAAGTCGCGCTCGCGTGTGACCCGTCTCTGCAGACACGCGCTGCGGGTGTATTTTTGGGGTTGGGGGTGAAGGACTCCTCGGGCTGTGTCTGTTTGGCTAATGAAGAGCTCAGTTTAGCCAGTGATGTGTCGCGAGCACAGCCGTGCGCTCTGATTGGCTGAGCGCTGCTGACATCACGCCGGCCAGCCGTTGATTTGCTGCTGTCTCCGAGGCTGCGGGTGAGAGTCTCAGCCATGGGCTCCGGCGTTTAGGAGCAGACGGAGGAGCTCTCGCTGCAGACCGAGCCACGGAGAGGAGGAGGAGGAGGTGGAGGGGTGCTTTAGGGAGCGCAGCAGCACATGCAGTCTATGGAAACTAACTCTGACCGATGGAAATAATGACCGCCGGCATGCGTCAGGTGAGTGTGGACAGGTAACGCCGAGGTGGTGAAGCTTTGCTCGAGGCAGTGTGTTTTGGGTGAAAGCGGGGCTCGTTTCAGAGAGCTGAATGTGTGAAACGCTTCCTCCGAGCTCGGATGCGAGATGGTGTTTGCGATCGGGTGAGCTGAGGACATCGTGGGTCGCTTCTGCTGTGATTCATGATGCGCTTTAGGAGCCGATTATTACTGTAATAGATGCTGTGAAGTGCACTTGATCTGCTGATGATTGCTGGTTTGTTGTATTTCACTATGAAGTTTGTCGTGTGTGTGGAGAAGGTGATCACTCGAGCGTCTTATGAAGCGCATCCGCGACATCGCTGGAGAAATCGGATTCAGAAATGCTTTTGTTTTGCACAATTGTTACTTTCAATTAAATGTCCTGTTCTTGACGTTTGTTATGTATTCAGATTAGAATTAAAAACACTCAGTTCATATCACGAGACTCGCTCCTAAATTCGTTTATTTATATAATAATCAAACATTTTTGTACTGTATTATTTTTTTAGGCAGCTGTCAATCATCTGAGCATAATTGACAGAAATACGCCACAGATGGGGCTTGTGTTAATATAGACACCACGGTTATGAAGGAATAAATGCTGATATTACATGCAATCAAAGAGCACAGATTACTCTTGATGACACGTCTGATATGAAATGTGATGGTTCCTCTTTAGATAAAGCATCTGCTAAATGCATAAATGATTGCAGTGCTACTGCTGTTTAAACAACAATTGATTTTTTGAAAATAATTCCCATGTTTGAGTCGTGGCTGAAATTGGCAGCGTCTGTTTCTTGTCCTGTTGCACAAACGCATGCAGAACAAACAGCTTATGTGTCTGCGCCGACACAATCGACAGCAACAGCTCTGTCTCATTTAGATGTTAGGGCTGTGAGTTCAGACTGATAGTGCCATCAAACTGTGTTTTCTCTTTCCCGTTTCATTTTCCCAATCCTCCTGTCAGCATTCCCCGCGCGCTCGACCATGAAGCTCTCGACGTCTCATTCAGACATCGCTTCTGTCTCGCTTCGGCTGCTCCACGCCGGTCTATTAGTGCTGAATGTGGATCCTCAGATGCTCTCAAACACCAAACAGACACTTTACGGGAAAACAAACACACACTGAGGTTTCCAGACGCTGGCGAGCTTTATTTCTGTAGTCCTTTATACAATACAGATTGTTTGGATGATGCAAACATCATCAATTATGACACAAATCAAAATGACGTTGCTCTAAAAGACAATAGTGTCATTTAGTTTTCAAAAACACAGTTTTTGTGTTTTTGTATTTGCATCAGGTGTTGTATTATTTGTGCAGTCATCCACTCTTTGTCCTGGTTTGAAGGTGCTGTCGTATCTGTAAGCGTATGGTGTCTCCAGATCCTGGCACGCGTCCCTTTCCTCCTCTTTGTCCCCCGTCGAGGCTCCATTTTTGCTGGATTGGACATCCGGCTTGCGTCCAGTGCGCATCAGAACAAGCTGTTTCTCTCCGAATGCTGTTTGAGAGAGAAAAGTGTTTGCAGGATTGATTTGGAGGGATGTCGCGATTTGACAGCTACCTCGTGCAACATGATTGTCGGAGAGCGTGTGTGTGTGTGTGTGTGTGTGTGTGTGTG